CACTTTCCCCCAAAAGCTGTGTCCACGCCTGAAATATTCATTTCAAGCAGATGGGTGCATCGGCCGGCCTGTGTCAGCTCTTGAAGGGCGACAGTACCAGTAAAGGAAGCGAGAAGGAAGGCTTTGATTATTGAGATGGAATTTCACTCGATGTCTCTGCGGATCGAAATCCCCTTCCATCCATCATGAATATTTCAAACCGAGTTAGAGAACAAAAACAAATTTATATCAAATCTGTACCTGCACGAGGGTGAGGATTTGGACGTAGGTGGGAGGGAGCTAGAAACACCGGGAGGGGGATGGGGGGAGGATGGGGGATGGTAATTTCACTGATTGACTAGTCAAGCCGTGGTGTTTGACGCAGGGCACATGACAGTAACGCCGTGGGTTTATGGAGACGCCAGCCGCGACAATCAAACCTGTCAATCAATATTGAAATGGACAATCAACACTTGTGTGTTCAACTGCCTTATTGCTGCGAAACGATATAATCTTCTGCCGCTGTTTTCTGTTAACTGTCAAATGATTTAAAATTGGGAAATTTTAAACGCTGAAATTCTTTAGATATGTAAATGTTAACATTCTGAAAAACTCCCAAAGGTTTTTATTGTTCAACTTCACACACAAATACATTTTTCTTATTCGCTTGTAAGGTGCACATACACCGTTAGGTTATACATGTAAGTTGATTATATGGCCGCTTCGGGACGTTTGTAAACTACAAATGTGGATCTATGTACGTTTACATGTTCCTGAAATGGAACCATTTTTCTTTTGCGCAATAGTCAGACAAACAATACTTACCTACAAAGTATATGCAGATTTGTTATATTAAGAGAAGAAACTAAAACATAAAAGCTGATTTCATATACTTGTAAACGTATAACCTCATTCTTCAAAATCCGTATCAGTAAACGATAAATTTAAACCAACAGCCAAATTTTAATATTCATCAGCAAAATTCTTTTGTACTTTTTCACCGCGTCATCTTCCGTGTTACCGCTCTCTGCTGGGGGTATGTTTTAATATTCTTTGAGTTTCTGAAAACTGGAACAAATCTCCGCTCCAGCAGTAAAGCTAATTCATTAATGGTTTTCTTGTGCACAAAGTGACAATTACCTCTTATTGGAAACAGTCGCGTATTTGATTTTCGTATCTATGATTACCGTATAAAACTATCTTAAGGAGAGCCTTGATGGGGAAAATCTGTTTCTGTTTGAAAGATGAAACGCAAGGATGTATGTCTCGTAGATACAAACGTATCTTCAGGGATGTGAAAAACGGGTGTTGGAATGGTATTAATTACAGGAATCGCAACTCTCGCCGATGTAGGCAGAAAAATTATGTTTTTGCAATTATTTCAAATTTCTGAGAAGTAATCTAGGAATTAAAGATGACAAATTCTGATGAAAGGGCATCAACGTGATGGCTTAAACGCATGTACAACTCGCACACAGAGAACCAGTCCAGCTGAGTCATTTTGGGGGTGCCGCGTTACCCTTACTAAAATATAACGCCAGCCCCTCTCCATGATCAAGGGTGAATTATACAGAAGGTCAGTGGCTGTGTCAGTGTGGGTGGGGCCGAACGGCATGTTAAAAGAATACAGCCACTTTGATGAAAGGATGGAAAAAATCGACCTTTACTGCAGAACCAAAATAAATAGGGATAAAAAATGGACCTACTAATTAGAATGATTTAAGCAACGTGGTTTAATTTATCGTTTTGTTATCTTTTATAATCTATTTTATACAGAAAAAGATTATACGTATCAACTTTTTTATTCGGGTACTTAATGTAAGTGAAGGAGACGATTCTTCGACCATTAGGTCAAACCCGTTTTTTCTCAAAACGAGGTCCATTTTGAGGGTCGCCATTCTATTTAAACTGTATCATATTAATTACTACTCTTAGATGCAGTTACAATTGTTTTGGGGATTTTGTCCTGTATTCTATAACATTGTAATCGAGTTTATCATAATCATCTGTTAAAACCGATGTTTTGATAAAATGTGTGAAAGATTAAAATCAGAATACTTGGAAACAAACTGTTTCCTATAACTGTTGATTATGTCGTAGCAAAGCGTATTGGAAACAGACTCCGACATTCTCGTTCTGGTGAACATGGTAAGATCCCCTGTTAGGAGTACATAACGTCGACATAATAAAGCTATATAAACTCTACCACACTGCGTGTCCCACCCTGCCTCACCTCACACGGAAAGCACGTGCAAGTCATTCACACGATCTTTTAAATATCACAGGCGTTTTACGCCAAGCAATAAATTCTCCGACTTGGCGAGTCGAATATTTCCCTAGCTTATTTCCACCAGTGTCAAAAGTCCTCTCCGTCTGCAAGACGGCTAACACAGCACATAGAAACGGTTTGATGGATTACGTTTAAAATTTTCAAAGACGTGAAGTCCGTCTCTAGATGGCCGTAACCACGAAATTACTCCCACTTTGCAGATGGGCCAAACAGCCAAACTTTCATCTGGATTTGAAAAAAGTTAGCCAAGTCGTTTCAGATGCGGCACTCCATAACTAAAAGAAAATTACATTTTTTATGAAGATATGAAAAGCGCCCTCTGTGGAAGCGAAGTATTTAAGCTACATCTGTCCGGCTAAAAGGGTTAACACAGATGGCGGAGTAATCTTTGAAATCCCTCCGCTTCAGTTTGGTGGCGGAATAGATAATATAGTTCTTCGTTCTCTTTGAGAATCACATTGAGTTCAAAAGTAATTACGAACAGGCAACTGGAATGAAACAGACATATCGTGCTGCGATAGGGTGGTATTTTCCTGAGAACAGACGGACATGTTTCGAGCACGGGACCAATTCTTGAGTGCAGATGGCAGTGTTTCCTAACTCATGTAATTGCATATTTAGCATTGGGTGAAACACTGCCTTTCTGCCCTCGAAACGCTGACATCTAAACTACCCCTTACAATAATCAACGGCAGCAAATATATGCACACGCATACGCACTCGCACACGCGCACGCACAGAGTAAAAACTCTCGGACTAAGTGTATTGGGATATATATTTGTTGAAGCTGTTTTCGAGATTTTAATTAAAAAGTTATCAGAAAAATATTTCTATTTCTAAAACGAACTTTCTAACCAAGGAACAGATCTCACTTAAAGAAGAACATAATTGTTGCGAGCGTTTAGTGAGCATTGATCTGATCTTTTCGAATCAGCTGTGTTCGATTTATTCATTTATTTATTTGATAATATATTCTTAAATTGTAGTTATATATTCAGTTGTACATGATTTCATTTCATTAGCATCATAAACAATATAATCTGACAGAAGCGGACACGATTACGAAATGACCCGAATACAAAAATATAATATTCATAAGGGGAAGTACGGAAGATTTCCCGACTTGGCTAGTAACCTTAGGGGCAGCTCCCCCTACTGGTCCGATGTTTATCTTCCCATAGGGACGGTAATGAAATGTACATGTTTCTCTCTATACCCTCGGTAATTACAGAGTAACTCAAGGAGAAACTCTTTTTAAAACGTTATTTCATATCGCCACGTGCAACAGTTTTTTTCTCATTTTGTCCCTAAACTTGTAAGATTTTTCTGAAGATCTGGTCAATTATGGTTGCATATATTTCTTCTCATTGCGCGTTTCTTGCATTTTCACAGTGTGGTGTCTTTCGGTGTTCAGCATATGACACATGCAGTTTGTAAACATTCAGACGCCAGGCAAATTCTACATATCTTGACTGTCTTTAAAGTTTCATTATGCTGAAAAGATGAAATAATTTTTCTGCTGACTTTTCCACATGATCGAGTTAAATTTATGGAGAGGAGGTTGTGGGAAAATCATGTTTAGGAAATCACGTTAGTTAATGTGAGAGAAAGTACAGCATTAGGTGCTCTCCCTCTGATAGAAAAACAAGAGACGCATTTCATTTGAATACGCGCTACTGGTTTATGAAAATGTTTTGAAATTTGGAGTTATTTTACCATATTTAACATCAGTTAAAGTATATTTGAAATAGATTAAAATATTTTTCAGAAACGGGGGTGTTCTAACAAATGTCAACTGGGTGCAGTATAAATACCTTTAAAAATTCTGGCAGTGTCGGTTGAGTGATGTTTATCCGGTAATAAAATGCCACTTCTTTCAAATAATGTTTAATTACTTTGACAGCCATTTGACTTCATGTCAAACTGCGTTGCATATGGGATACTTTCATATTCAAGGTCCTCGCTGATTTAACAATTCAGTGGTTGATATTGTGAGCATCGACTCAAACTGGTCGGTGTACGAGAACACGTAGTCACCAAGCATGTCCACCCACCAATTGCCTCCAACGACCATCATCGGATCCTGGGCCCCATTTTGACACGGAATCCCTACGAGGGTGCTGTTATTAAAAATGTGGACATTAAAAAATCTTTATTTGATTGTTATGTTGGAATCGAACCGGGTCTTCAGCCGGACAAGGCCACATTATGCCAATGGGGCGAAATTAAGTTGTGAATTTATGCGTTCGACAGCAGTGTTGAAGATAACATGTGGGAGAGTGTGAGTGAGTGAGTGAGTGAAATGGGTTGAACGTGCCTTTGAACGGTAATCCAGTCATGTCACGCCGACACCACTGGGCTACCCCACCTCCCAGTTTGTCGTAAGAGACAACTAACGGGATCGGGTGGTCTGGCTTACTGACTTTGTTCATGTATGGCACCATATTGCATTTGCGCAGGTCGATCTTCACTGAATTGTCTGGTCGAAAAGTGATTATTTTGGAAACGTTTTTGAGTGCATCGTTAAAAAAAGAAACACAACCTTAATTTACCCTTTCACTGTGATCACGACTCAGTTTCCCAGACCGACTCCATTTAATGTGTCATCAAAGTGCATGTTCACACTTTCGACCATTGGTTTGCCTAATCAAGATATAACGGTATAGCTGTAGATCTCGTCTCACGTACATACGTTCTGCTGTTTTGACAAACAATCATTGATTAATTGCAGATTTGGACGACAGTGTTGACATCAACGAGTCTTTCCATGCCCCGGGGGAGGTAGGAGAGAAGGTTGGGGTGGGGCAGCATGGACACACCCCTCAGCTGTTGAACGGAGAGGCTACAGGGATCTCATCAATCGAAACGCTCCTTCTCAACATCCAAGGCCTCCTCAAGGTCGCAGCAGAGAATGCACGTCACCATGAGAGACAGATAACGCTGGAGAAAGGTACGTTACCTGCTGGTTAGTGCCAAGCAATTTCTACAACCGGGCAACGCATTTACCTTTTTACGAAGAACACCTTCTCATGACAGCAAATGAATCAATCTTTTTTCTGTTATGAAACCAGCTAAAAAACTAGATACCGGGAAAATATAATTAAATCTTTGTATCAGATAAAATATAAGTGGATTAAATAAAAAGATAGGGCCATAAATTTCTCAGTACCTGACAGTAATAATGATAGATAGGATACAGATACTACATGTATGTAGTTACTATTAACTGCCAACTCACTTCACATTAGACTGGGGCGGTGGGGTAGCCTAGTGGTTAAAGCGTTGGCTCGTCACGCCGAAGACCCGGGTTCGAATCCCCACATGGGTACAATTTGTGAAGCCCATTTCTGGTGTCCCCCGCCGTGATGTTGCTGGAATATTGCTTAAAGCGGCGTAATACCAAATTCAGTCAGTCAGTCAGTCACATTAGACTGGCAATAGACTTGATTGTAATGTAATAATACAAAGTCTCTAAACCAACCCGCTCCAAATCACCACATGTTACTCGTGTACAAGATGTCTGAGTCTCTGATTTAGATACTCTCTCCTCTTCGTTGCCGCTGCAACAACAAACGTTCATCATCTAACATGCTCTTACATATGACTGAGGGCACGCACACAATACCTCTGAATACTTTATGGCGATTTATTACAATAATGGCTTATAACCTTTGCATTCGCCCAAAAGGCATACTGTGCGCAGCCCTTTGCTATTGAGAGCTTGGTTTGAACGCAGTGCATTTCAGCTTTGCTTTAAGAGAATACATGTTGACAGATAGAAACCGTCTGTTTCTTCCCAATGGAGAAATTAAAGCTCATTTTTTCTGTCATTGATCTGCCGGGGCTATTGTTTTTCGTGGACGCAATTTGTAACTTACCCTGACGAGGAGAAAAGATGAAAGGGTTTGCGGATGCCATCAATTAATTATGACGGCTTGGTTTGCTTTTGCTTGCGCTTTGTTAGATGGTCTGAGACATTGAGGTGGTCAAATGTTGTAGTTCTCATGTTTACTTTCCACAATGTCATCATTACAACGAAATCAAGAATATATATTAAGAGAAACAAATACTCCAAATATATAACGGAATTCTTTGAGTGACATTATAGAAGTTGGAAGTCAGATAGAACAAGTAAGTATATGGATGACGACTTCTTTTATTCTAGAGCACATATGGATGACAACTTCTTTTATTCTAGAGCACATATGGATGACAACTTCTTTTGTTCTAGAGCACTAGAATAAAAGAAGTTGCCATCCATATACTTACTTGTTCTATATAAGGAAAGCAATATTTTCAACAATTTTGAGTGTAGTGTTTTCAATTCAACTGAGAGAACAACAAAGATATATGACTAAAGAAATATTTTCAACAATCTTGAGTGAAGGAGTGAGTGAGTTTAGTTTTACGTCGCATTCAGCAGTATTCCAGCTATATGGCGGCGTCAACAATTTTGAATGTTGCGGCTTCAATTCAATTGACGAGATAAAGTGTGGAAATGTTCAATCATGTGTTTATTTGAGTATTAGACAGACACACGTTTAGTCATGAATACTTAAAGAACACTGATATTCTCATATTCGTCAATGTAGAATCCCTGTATAGTACTCGGTCGTTCTGTACAAAATATTCATCAAATGGTCCAAGTTGTTTTTCATCTAAAATGCCAATGGGCACCAGATTACAACTGTATCTATCTTAACAACCTTTCACGCCACACAAGCACAATAGATAACTACACGAACTAAATAACGACATGTTTTATGCATAAAGCTATCTATGGAGAAACTCGACACACCGAAAACACAAAAACAACGATAAACGAGCAGGAAGCGAAATAAGTAAAATTTATCAGACGCCTCCCCAGTGCCCTTCACATCATAAATCATATCGTTAAACCATGGTGGTAGAAGTAGTGGTTGGCTGGTTATTGCCGCTCACGTTGAGCTTATGACGTGACAATGCGGGCGTCGCCAATGTCTAAGCTTTTTCAATAGCAGCGTTAACTGTGGGTCCCGTGTCTCCTCTTGCTCCGAATGGCCATGGCCATTGTCACTGTTGTCTTCACGAACGATGAAACTACCAGAGAGGTAACTTAACACAGACAAGTACAGAGATTACATTTTATTAGATTAATCTATTATGTAATTACATAAATGATATCAATAATCAGTTCAATTACTTTGAAATAAATTTAATGAAATGAATTTTGTCATTAGCCATTACTCTCAATTACATTACTCACACACGTTGAAGAAATCTGTACTATAGAAAACATCCCTCTGTAGACTATAAACTCTTCCACGAAAGATAAATGCACCTGCTTACAAATGCAATGCCGAATGGAAGTGGGGATGGGGGGGGAGGAGAGAAGTTGCATTGTCACAATGTAATATTTACAACAAATTCACTTGTGCCAATTTAAAAAAGGACCTATGTAAAATTGTTTTACATAAGATGTTTTGTTAGACAAATAAAAATACAAATCGATAAAGAGATTGGGACTTTTACTCTGTAAGAAGGAACCGACTTCTGTGCTGTAATAGATTTCTTTAGCATTCGGTAAATGGAGAAGCTTTACCAGATGCCCATTAGATAAAAGACAGTCTTTCATACACGAGATGCTTCTGAAAGATGTATGACTGTCTATAGAATAAACGTAATGTGTCCTTTATGGAATATGAGGTTCATGCAGTCGGTATCGTAAGGCGATATTCTAACAGACAGCTGTTCTCGGCAATAAGCTATTCTATTCATGTCCAACTTATTAAGCACTATTTCCAAACAGTCGGGATGTCACAGACCAAATAACATTGGCGAGGATGACAGACGAAAACATGCACATTCATGATAGATAAAACAGAATTATCTCTCTCAAAGTCTATTATCTTTATACATAAATTTCTCTCAATGTTGGACGATAACACTCATGATGACGTCACAAATTACCACACTCGTGCGCATAAAGAGATCTGCGCATTTGTTCCTTTGATCGAAAAACCATCAATTACCATAGATCAACAATCTCAAGCAACCCCGCCGAAAATATTACCGATTTATGTATCAATATCGGCTCTATCATTATAGGAAGTTTTACAACAGGTACAAGGCAAACCTTCAAGCGGCTTTCATTATCAGCCGTATCTCTTTGCGAATGCGTTATTCCCTCTCGCAAGCGTTTCCATTTCCAATAAGTATCAGAGCTCATATTGCCGGATTTGCGTACCACTGATTGCAAGATATTAATCTAGCTATGAAAATTCTGTCATTTCCTGATCACTACGATTTCATATAAATGGCTCTAAATGACACTACACTGCTATCAAACGGAATCTCAGCCGGCAAAATGCGTGTTTCACAGTAGGAAAAACAGACATCAAAAATTGAATGAACCTTCAATTTTACGAGTGAATAAATTAGTTTTGTCTGACACCATATTACTGCCTCTGACAACCTCGGTGGTGTTTTTTCGCCCGGCGAGACCACTCGAAGGGGAAAAGGGAGCGTTACGTTAATTGAGAGAAATATCGAGGAATGGTTCGCTCAAGGAATGAGCTTCCTCTCGGTGCGTTATTACAGCTGTAGAGATTCGGCGATTTCCGCGTTAACATCTCCTGCATCAACTTCATCCATTTATTCTCTCAATGGTGAAAGATTGGTATCGGTTGATGAATCTGATAGGAACGGTGGACAGCGTGTCGCATGTCGGCAACACATCTGTAACGGCAGCGTGTTGAAACACTGCTTCAAATTATTCTCACTTAGATTACTCCACGGCTGTAAAATTGCACGTGTTTCGAAATTGTTGTCGATTTCAATACGATTAGGCTGCCATGCCTGTTGCTGATGATGATGATTATTTGATGATGGCCATCATTGGCGTCATGCTTCATCATCATCATTGGCGCTCTGTGAAAACCCTATATAAATCCTTATGAATGGGTTGCCCTTATCATCATCATCATCATCATCATCATCATCATCATCATCATCACCATCATCGTCATCACCATTAGCGCTCTGTGCAAACCTTAAATAAATCCTTATGAATGGGTTGAAAAGCACTCATCATCATCATCATCATCATCATCATCATCATCGTCATTGCTGTGGAATGTAATGAATTCCTCGTATTAGGCATACGATTCTTAATAAAGCCTCTAGAATACCTATACTATGGCAGAATGATTGCCCTTAATTTTCTTAACAATATGTTTCCCAATCACAGTCAAACATATCCGCTCGAACCTCGACATCTCATCAACGTTACGACGTTGTCGATGTCGGTCCATTCAATGTTGCCGGAGGAACACGGGCCGTCGATGAAGATGGCGAAAAGGGAAAAGATTGGATTTTATAAATAATTAAGCGCTTGCCAGTCAAACTCGCATAAATCAGAGGCTGATTCAATTTCATTTCGGATTTTGATGGTTATCGTTAAGAATGGCTACTATGCTCTTCGTCTCTATTAGGCCAGGGACCTTGGTCTATTGATCTCAAGCTAAAACAATGAATTGCATTTGGAGAACACATTAGATGAAAATGTCATTTTGCAAGGACATTATATCATTAGCACATTTCTAAAAGCTAACGTCTCTTTGTAGGACTAATGATAGTATGAAGAGAATGTACGCAGAGAAATACCCAACGCGATGTCCATTTGGACCTCACTGAGAAAATGGCCCCCTAAGGCAACTTAAGAAAACAAGGCGGAACGGGCAGATAGATAGATAATGAGATTTGATTGGGAGCGCCATCTGAGGACGCGTTTATCAAAAAGATAGAACTCCGATTCTCTTAACATGGGTTGAGAATTTACAAGATGTACAAACTCAACATCAATAAAGGTTTATGTTACCTGTTCTCCGGCCTTTTTTTAGCATCTTGAAAAACGCAAGATTTTTCTTGTCATGACCATTATGGAGCGACAGCTACAATATTTATGCTATA